TTCATCGGGTTAAAAAAATATGCAAATGAAAATGCGGAATGTTGGGAACCAGCTATATGCGTTTTTGAATAAGTGGTTGCGTTTTATCATTGATTACAGCAAACAAGTTCAGCTACAACTTAAATTAGACTACTTCGTAAATTTGCTGCGTATTTTGCTTTCTGTAACAAAAATGCCCAAGCACTTTCGACAACTGAGGCCACAGTTAGTCTGTCATTATCAACATAGGCGATATTCGTTAGATCAATTGAATGCCCAGTGAGAAATGATGCCGAAATGCTTCTCCTTGACGATTATCACAGCTCTTTGGCCTAGCTTTCATGAGGTTTTTCCACTGGGATATTGTCGCATCATTACAATGAACCTTACATAGCAAGTCTATCCCTGTATTTCTTCCCGTCCATTGAATCCTAAAGCACTGACCAATTTGTCGTCGATTCGAAAAACGTCATTCGCCAAACAGAGTTTAATCGTGCAATAACTTCACGGAAAAAGAGATCTGTCTGACGCCTTCATGTCTTGCTATTGAAATCGTTTAAATCTACATGTGAACCTAAAAATTCAGTGCCCTTCATGGCATAGTTTTATAAGCCTCTGCAATCCTTCCCTCATTGACATTGTCCCTGCGCTCTGCATTTTCAGACACCGTTTTTCTCATCATCATCATCGTCATCACTATTTGCTCATCAGCTACTTTTATTTTAGGGAATCTGCTCATGTGAGCATTTTACACTTTTAGTATTAAAGATATTTATTTTTAAAAAATGGAAATCGATAATTTCTTGGTCAGAAAAATTTAAAGAACACAAAGTGCAGAGACACATATTTCATCAGCCTAATTTCCATGACAAATATAACTTCTAAACAGCTTCTTATCGTCTGCTTTGGATATTATGGCCTTCTTCGTTTTTCCAGCGCCTATCCTACAGCGTTGAACATTTTAACGGTGCATCATGTTCAATGCTTCTATTCCGTAAGCTGAAACCTCACGTTTGTTTTTCTCACGGAAATATATAACCTAAATGTTATCAATCTAATCATCATTCACATGTTTTGGAGATGATGTGGGCACCTTTAACGGCAGCAATGCGTCAAACGTGTCACGTAAACATCAATTCTCTTTGTCTGCCATGACGGCTGAAATATCTCTCGTCTTTGACAAGGTAATAAAGCATTTTTTGCTAGAGCATTAAAGATGAAAGTTTGCAATTACTCATGAAACCTTCTAAAAACCATCTAATGATTCAGAAGAGAAAACATTTGGTGTTTAAAAAGGAAACTAAATGACGGGAACAAAGCGCCGTTCCGTATTTGAGGTTTATCGATCAAGTTCTTCGTCCTCTGCTAAGCCATGACGTACCTCGGGAAGTTTCTTGCATTGACAGGCTTTTGTATTATCCTTGCAATGCCAGCCAATAGCTGCAAACCAGGTATCGTTTAGTATTTGATTACGTAATATCATATCTATTCTTGAAACCGTAGGGTACCAATGACAAGGTCTCGGACCTTTAGAATAAATGCGCGTTCAACGATGCGGACGCATATACTTAGTTGGACCGGCCGGTAATCGGTGGAGAACTGGCCGGCTG